TAAAATTGCATCGAAATTTTCAATGAAAAATTAATTCCATCAAAATTTTCGAAGAAAAATTAATTCCATCAAGCAAATTAATGCGGATTGATGACATGTTTTTTCTGAAAGTTTTCGACAAAAAAAAAAATTGACCAAAATTTTTGACGAAAAATATATTTCGTCGAAAATTTTCATGTGGATTAATGACATGGGGTGAGGTTTCACATGGATTGATGACATTTTTTTTAATTATCAACAAAAAAAAATTGTAGGAAATTTTCAACGAAAAAATATTCAGTTGAAAATTTTGACGAAATTTATGTTGTGATTAATTTTAAAGTAATTATTTTTATGAATAAGAAGTTTTATTTGAAAAGTTGTGTCGTTTCGTCGATGAACGGATTTGTCGTGTCACCGATGAACAGAAGTGTTGTTGCATCCTTGAATGAGTGTGTCTTTTCAATCGTGACCCTATGTTTTCTATAAATAGATAGACAATCATAATTTTAAATAGGTTTTTTCTTTGCATTTGCATTCCATCCTTCTAGTGCGATTATTCAGGCATAGGTTGAGTTTGATAGGGTTTTCAATGTGGAAGTGTTGCCACGAGAATAGAGGTAATATGTTCTATCCTAAAAGACAATTGTTCATGAATCTTAAGCACCATAGAAGGGGCAATATTGTCTTAAGGACACGGTGTTTAATACTGGACTCAGATTTTCCTTTGTTGCATTCACATATTTCCATACGATACGCTTTAATTATGTGTTATTGCATGTTCAATTTATTGTGTGTGTTTAATGAAATTGTGAATATTGTCGAAATGATTTCTCTAACACAGATTAACTTCTCTCAATGAATTTATCATCATTTTTTTCTAACAATTTAGTTTCCTTCAAAAGTTTTCACAAAAATGATTTCTTAAATATTTTTGGTCAAAAGTTTTCGACTGAGAAAAGAATTCCATCGAAAGTTTCTATGGATTTTTTTCGTCGAAAAAAAAAAGTAGTCAATCCACGTGAAACCTCACCCTATGTCATCAATTCGCATGAAAATATTTGACGAAATTTGTATTCCGTCAAATTCGACAGAATTTATTTTTTCATCAAAAAATTTGAAAAATAATTCCATCGAAAGTTTTGTTAGAAAAAAATTTCGTCAAAAATTTTGACGTAAGTATTTTCAGTCAAATTTTTGATAGAAATTTTTTTAAAAAAAATTGCATCTCCATTTTTGACAGAATATTTTTCATCAATAAATTTTGTCGGTATTTAGGACTTTCATAATAGTGTGACATTTAAAAAATGATTCACACTTATGTAGTTTTCACATTTTGATCCTAAGGATAGATAAGTAATTTTCAATATTTATCCCTTAAACCCCCAATTTGAGAAAACTTTAATTTTAAAAGGATGTGAATGGTTTTTGAGGATATTACAAAAATCTCCAATTCTTTTTTCCCATTTTTTTTAAACTCAAGAGGAAAATATAATAAAACTCTTTTTTCTTCCATTTTCCTCCTAAAATTAACTCCCAAAGAAACCCTAATATAACAATGCACATTTAACCTGCCAAAGAGATTTTAGTCCAAAATCAATAAAAACCTCACAGCATGACCTTGTATCTCCGATGTGGATTCCAAGTTGACACCTTACAACATAGACCATTTTAAAAGCATCCTTCAAAGAATTCGTATCTTGCCCATATCTTATTGACACACATGTGCTATTATTGAGTGATTTATGCCTATGCGAATTGCAATGACAAGAACAAAGAAGGACTAGGCATGTGACATTATTTCTTCTTGTCATTCAGTGGAGCATATGACAAAATATAATATAAGACACTAATTTCTGCATATGTTGACAACATTTCCTCACGGGTGTTCGGTTTTCTTCAACATTCACAAGATTGATCATCGTATTAATAATACTGGAAATCAACGAGAGGGGGATTCATTTTTTCTATCCGATTTTCAAGACATATGTGCACTTGGCAAAGCCGAGATACAAAATATATACAATTTGGAAGTAGTAGGTGTTCTTCACATATCCCAGATTGAAACCAAGTGTGGAGAAGAAATCTGTATAGCTTTTCAGACACATATATATCATGTATTGCTGCAGCGCTATTCCAAAGCATGATCTGCTGCTGTTGGTTCATTGAATAAGGATACTTGTAATAATTTCAAGCATCCTAATTTGAAATTAAATGAGAAGCATGTTCAAAATTATCAGAATTTGTTGACGAGTCTCCAAGGAAGACTAACCAGTTGCTGGAAGAATTGCAAAAACAAGGGCAAATGTTACAAGAATGGAGGGGCTTCTTATATCATACCATGGGGAGCAATAATCATTTTGAGTTTTTTTTTTTTCCGCAGTGGATTTTTCCTCATCAAATATATACCCAAATTCTTAAATTTCCAACCAAAAGATTGCATGATAGTCTAAAAAAGTTGGTATCCTCTTTTGAGGAGGGCATAATAAGTCTAAACAATTCTCGAGAGGAATTGCAACTTGGACCTTGTTTTGAGGGTGAGATTTTGGTGACTACGTATTGCAAGGATCGATGGCAAGATTTATTACATTATCAAACATATGAAGGATTCATCTGTTGGAATGACTAGTTCAATAGACCTACAAAAGTACGGGATTATTGGAGAACAACTTTGCCATAATGTTGAATTTGAAGATTAGTTTTTTTTTAGACTAATATTAAGAGATATTACTTTCAGGTCCAGTCACTTGATGTGAGTCAATTACAAAGTTGGCTTGACTATATAGATTTTATTGAACTTCTAGGAAATTTTGACTAGGCTGTGAGTCTGTACGAGAGATGCTTGATTGCATCTTTATCGTCGCTCCCTGTTCTGGGAGATGAAGAAGGGTAATGGAATCCCGATAGAAGTTATTTTCTTTCCACGCATAAATTGGTCCTTAAATTTCAAGCAATAGGATACCGGCTGTAGGTTCTTGAGGGTTGAATTTCATCATAAGGACAATGTGGAAGTTTATTTATTTATTGGGCTATTGATACGCCCCACCTTTCACACAAGAGAAACAAGGGGCTTGAGAGTGGGGTGTGCAAAATAATTGATTCAGTTGCCCTCCTCTTAATCTAACTTTGATTTAATTCATAAATTTTTTTTGAACTGGTTTAAATATTGAACTATTTATATTTGGGTCAGTTTTAGACTTGACTTGTTTTAATAATTGACCCAAAACTTGACCCAGATCCATTTTTTGAAAAAAAAGAAAGCCAAAAATCACCATAAGGCAATTTGAGGCTTAGGTTCTCTCTTCTCTTGATAAGAATGGAAAAAAGCTTGTTGAGGTGTTGGAATACGAGCCAAGGCAACTTGTGTGTTCTAAATTTTAGTAGTACTATCATAGATATGATAGAGAGAGAAATTGGATCATGTCATATGCGTGATTGGAGATCAATGTGAAAATATATATGTGATCCAGTGACTTTGAATCCAAAAGAGGTTACAAATTCACAGGCTTTGATTTTGATACAACATGTGATAGGATAATAGTTATTGTGTCTACCTGAACATTTTATGTGCTATAAGCCTCCAAGATTCCATGGGGTAGTCAAGAAATGGGATAGATTGAAGACACTAGTGTTGATTAAATAAGAGTTAGTCATACTACATAAATTGTTCGTAAATATTTGGATTTTTTTTAATTTATCATCAATTTGGAGCTTTTTAGTGATCCAATAAAATCATGATAATTGCTAATTGCAAATATCAATTATGAGTTTGAATGAGCTTCCCATGACACTGATTAGTACCATGGAATAGTAATATTAGCACTTTTTTTGAAGAATTGGTATTTATTCAACAAATATCAAATTTATTATATAATTTATATATTTTAAAACAAATAAATAATTAAATTACTTGAGTTTAAAAACTAAATCAATAACTATAACAAAATCAAATAAAAAATAAGTTTTGAAACCAAGTAAAAAGTGGGTCAGGTCAGATTTGACCCAATTTTGAAATCAAGTCAGACCCATTTTAGAAATTAAGTTAGGCCAGATTTGATTCAGTTCTGAACCAGTTCAAAAAAAAATTCAAGTCGGGTCAGACTTTACTTAGATCAAATTAAACTAGGTCGGGTCAAAATATTTGAACTATAAAACCAAATTGGATCGAGTCAGCACAAAAATCTGACCCGACCTGACCTGATCCATACACAGCCCTACTGGAGAGTCATGTTGAGTCAGCAGGGAGTTTGTTAACAAAGAATATTCTAAATTGAGCTAAACACAAAGCAGTTTGAATTCAGAAACGGAGATGTAAAGAAATATCGTTTTAGAAGAGAAGGAGGTCAAGCAACTCATAGTGGGGAACATGGAAGTAGAGATGGCAACGATGTTGCATACTATTTCTGGGATGTCGAGGAAGATAACCAGTAGGAATCGAAGGTTTGGAGGGATGAGAGAATCGATACGTCCCTCCTTTCATGCAAGACAAATAAGGGAGGAGAGAGTCATGTTGAGTCAGTAAGGAGTTTGTCTACAAAAAATATTCTAGAGCAGGCTAAATAGGAAGCAACTAGGGACTTGAGCATTGACTGAAATTTCACTGAATAAATAAGAAAGTCTAGGTATCACGAATCTAGGAAACTATCTTAGTTTTTCTACCATTTGCTTTGTAATTTTTTTCAATTTCACCATTGTTACTCTTGTTCTATTTCCTATCCACTGTTAATATACAGATACAAGCTTACGCATCAATACAAAGTTACTTTCATTTTGTGTTACTTCCCTCGGTCATTGGTTGGTACCTATCATAATCCTGATTTTTATTTTTATTTTTCTAGTAAATAAAATCCTATCGTTTTAAATAAAGGTTAGTAACTCAATATATGGATATCAGGCTTATCAGGCCCTACATAACAATATAGCACCCTTGTCAATTTGATCAAAGCCTAAAAAACATGTGTGGTGATTCCCAAAACATAAAATAGATCGCATAATTACATGAGCTTACAAGAAAAATGCCATGTTATTATCCATTCAACCCATTTTATAAAACAAATTACACCAATCAATAAAGTCCAAAGCCCCCCACCCACGCTTGAAAATGTAAACAATTGTAGCAATCAATGGCTATAATGTCAATAACCCTTTAGACCTTGTAATAAAAGAATAGCATTTTGGAAGTCACCATAAAGACAAACTTTTCTATAACATGATAATATATAATTGCCCGTATGTACTTGCTTTACACATGAATGTTGAGAATAGAAGGATTTGCTCATGAAATGATTTCTGTAGTTTATGGGTGATTGATTAATCACGGATGAAGATCTCCAACTCAACGAACTGTCTTCATAATACGGAACAACGACAAACAGTCATCTTGGGCGAATCATCAATCTTCTTTTCTGTTCATAAAAAGATATGAAAATGTCAAACTGGATATTTCTTTAATCTTCAGGTAAATTTACGGCAGAATTCCGAAAAAAAAATAATAATAATAATATTCTGCATTCTTCAATGCCAGTGATATGCTTGATATTAATCTATTTGATGGCTGAGTGTATACAATATAACGGTGATAAGAACGTCATTGTTTGATTAGACAATCTCACCCACCAACTGCAACCAATTATTCAGAAGCAATGATTGGTGGTCATGGCTAATAAACTATGTAGCCTAAGACACAATGTGATATGCATAAAATGGAGGTCTGTGACCTTAAATAGGAAAGGAAGATAAGTAGTATAACACTGGAGGACATCAGATCTCCCTCATTCATTTATTGTTTGGCATTCATTAATGACATTTGAGCCTAAAAAAATTGAAACTTCCTTTTTTCCTCTACCAACTGAACCAAATGGGGAAAATCAAGATTCCCCTTGAGACAAAAACAATATTATCCAGCTGGTGAATTATTGTCCATACAAATCATATATAGAAAGGTCTTTGCATGGATGCTGAGAGCACTCACTATAAAAGGCAGTTAGATGCCATGTTGGAGAAAAGATATCAAAAGCCTGTCACCAACATACCCTATATTACTTTTGATCTTCACTATCTGAAATGTTTATTTAATTGCTCGATGTAATGTAATGAGGTCCTACACTTTGATGTAAAAAAATGAAAAAAAAAATTAAAAGCTGTTCACTATAAACATGTAGAAATAAGTTGGCTGCTCTCAGTTCATCTACACGAATCCCAGAAAATTATGTTTTTCTGGCAGTTCTACCTCATCTATTTCAACAATAAATTAAATGCTGTGAAGGGGATGTCAAATCACTCCACTACAGGATATTAGCAAGCATATTAGTTTAATAACCATAGCTTAGAACTTTATTAGCTCCTTTAGATCCGGAGTACACAGCAATCAGATCCAGGTGCAGGGATCTGGAAGTTGGTCCTCATGTGAGCTCCAGTTAATTTCAAACCATGTTATAATAAAGTAAACTTCAAAAAGAATATGACAATTAAAATTTCAGAGCCACTAAAAAGGTGATGCATTCCTCATATGAAGAAACCATGCTAACTTACCAACTTTAGCTTTTGCTAGAGATGGCTGTACAACAACGTGCATTATTATGACTTCCCCTGCGAACTCGCCAAATGGAACTCTACATTGGCCAACAGTCCTATTGTTTTCTAATATTTTGCCATAATTAATCAATTTCACTTCATTTGCTGCCTTTGGGATGACCGTTTTACCTACAGTACAGCAAATAGTAAAAATAAATGAGAGAACACGAGAGGAAACCACAAGGAAAACAATACACCATATGATCGATTTCTAGATGAAAGCTCGAGACAACCAGCGTTGTATCCTATCCTAAATAAGTTGTAAAAAAGAACCCAAAAAAGCACATGAATAATCATCATAACAACTTTGTTGAATCAGTAAATGCCTCATTTCTGTTACAGAGCTAACAACCACCACTAAGCAATAATATATAATAGTCCATACTCTATACCAACTTAATGAGAATGATAATCATGTTTAATTTCCTCATTATGACATCTATTTGAACAAAGCATAAAAAAAGTGATTTTTGAAGGGTCCTAAACCTGAAATGCATGGTAGTGAAGAAGTGTTCTGAAAATGCAAATTGAATTTAATGAGTGAAGACATTTGTGACCAAAATTTTCCTTTCAAAGAGTTAGGCCAAGACTTTCAGATGTGATGCTTATGTAGCTAATGTCATAATGAGTATATTAATTAAATATTATTTTCATTTGGCCAGCAACCTTCAATTTTATCAAACCCACTGGAAAATTAGACAAGATTCCTCAATGCTCAGGAGTTCGGACCAAATACATATTGGCTCTTGTTCCTTTTAACCATCTAAGTATCCCCAATCATTTTATAGTTCCAGAACAAGGTTGACACAGAATTTAGGGCAATACACACTTATATTCCATTTTTTCTCATAAGATCTCAAAGAAAGAGATCTAACTCAAGCATATGACTTGTAGAGCTATAATTGGCTTCAGCAAAATAGAAGCTCTCTGCCTATAAGCAATAATTTTGTGATGGAATCTGTAATCTGGAAATATCAATCTTCAGTACTTCACATAGGAACTGACATCCAAATCCTGAATTATTATTGATATGTGAAACGGAAAGGTAAGTGTCTTTGCATCATGAAGATGAAGACAACAGAATAAGTGCAGCATTCCAATAATTTATTATCCTTATTGTATATGTTTTAAGCAAAACCAAGTAATGCATGCATGTTTGTCTTAATGCTTATGCAAAGGAGGGGGCTCCCTTCCCTATGTTTGGGAGTTAAAGTAGAAGGAATTCGTAAGTTATAAAATTAGATTTTCAATATTGTCCCTAAGTTAACTCTTCTTATCTATGTTACATATCATGTCCCTAGCCAGTGTAAAGGAGGAGGGTTGCTTTGGGCCTAACGAGCCAGTTGTAAAAAGAAACTATTTTTATGAGATAAATCCATTTGATTGTCCCTAAGTTGAAATCTTAGAACACAGGCATAAATAACTATTTAATTGAACAAAATTTAAAAAAACCCTTTCCCCCTGCTTATCTACCATTTTTATTTTTATTTTTTTTGTGGGGGGGGCGGATTCTGGCACCTTGAGGGAGAACAAATCCCCCTTCCTTCCCCACTTCTAAGATCTTTCAAACAAGGGTTTAGGTCACTATCCCCCTCCCAAAAAAACATAGCGAAAAAAGCTTCAATTGGGTGATACAATTCAGATCAAATAATACTCGACAAAACAAACTATGGTTTTCCTGATATCATCATTCAAGTTACAGGTATAGAACCTGAACTAAAGTTGGCACATTTTAGCATAATAAAAAGGGATAACATCTTGCCCTGAATCCTCCCACCTCAGTTCTAACCACGTAATGCTGAATGCAGCTACAAACAACCACAAATAATTCACAAAGTCTTCTATGGATTACATAATCAAACTCAGAAAAAAATGGCAAGTTTTCCCAAAACACAGATATAAATTGTTATCTCTAAATCCAATATGAAATCAACCAAAAGTGCCAGCTTCTGACATTAGACACTTGCTATACATTCCCAATCATATCAATTATGAACATAGACCTATAATTATGACTCTAAAAGAGAAAAAAAAAAAAGTTGCAAAATTAAAATCAAAGAACTGACCTTTGGGCCAATCGGAGACAACCCTTTGCTTAAGCATATCGACGGTGGCTGTGGATGAGTATCTGAAGGGTCCCATATCGGAGCCATCGAAAAGCCTGAACTTTATCTCCACCAACTCCTCTTCCGGCATTTCACTTCTTCTTGACCTCAATTCCTAAAATTTCAATCCAAGTGGATTTGTTTCCATCAGACAAAAAACACAAAATCTTCATAGATTTAAAATTGGATCATCCATGTCAATATATTAACAGTAATTAAACCAAACCATCCCATAGGAACATAAAAATAAAAATAAAAAAAATTGAACAGTACCTTCTAAGATGTGAAATTCCCAGAATTTCTTTTGTTCCAAACAGGTTTTGACTTTTGGGAAATTGAGTTGTGCACAGTGCAGTGCTGTTCCTCTTCTCTGATGCTTCTTTATATCGAGGTTAAAAGTTGAAGATCAGAGATTTCTTCTTCGAAACTTTTAATTTGGGCATGCAAATTAAACATTAATATGTGATTAACTTGTAATTATATGAATGCAGTTAAATGTTAATATGTGAATGTTAAGCATAATTAATTTAATTTTAATACAACGTTGGCATGAAACTTTACTTTATCATTCACATCCATCATTCAATTATAAATTATTACATTAGTAAAGGAGTGAGTCAGTAAATTTTTTATAGAACAGGACAATATATGATAATTTCTTAATTGTTGATTTTCTTTGTATTTAATGATTCACATATTTTTTATTTTTAATAAATTAAAATTATAGTATAAATGTGCATCATTAAATTGTGACAAAAGATTAATATGTTGCAAGAAAAATTTAACATGAGTTTCTTAAAAATAATATTTATTTATTTTTACAAATGTCACTTGAAATTTTTACAAGTATCTATTACATACGATTGTGCATTTAAGGAATATACATGTTTAAAACTTTATTTTGTGCTTAAATTTTAAATTGTGATTAGAGGCATGCATGTTAAAATATAGATGAAACATTATAAGTCAATGTGAATTGTGCACGTTTACTGTGACAAAATGAAACAAGTCAAACAACTATTATTATCCAAGATATGTAGTATTGAAAATTTTGACGTAATATGTTATAAAAAGATAAATATGAGTCTTTTTACTCTGTCTTGAGTAGAAATAATGAGAAATATGTAAATTACCTTTGTAGCCCCTAATATGAAAGAGGAAAAAATTAAAAAAAATTATGCGGAAGAAGCAACATTTGCTCACCCTCAATCATGTTTAACCCATGAATCATGCAATAGGCATTGTTATAGACCTGACAAAGGCCCATATTCTAGAAGGACCAATAAAGGACAACACAAAGGGAAGGGAATCTCCTATTGATGATGATCCTATCCAGACAGCTAAGCAGTTGGACTTGGGCCCCTAATATTCCTAAGAGGCCCAGAAGTACCCTCATTCAGGTAACCCATCTATAAATACGGGGTTAAACCAATAAGGTACACAGACTCTAAACCCTCTCTCTTAGCTTGTCACTGTGCACACACCACACGCCTTGACTATGTCGTTATACTATAGTGCACAGTGATCCGCCTATCTTTAGGGTACCTCTCCTATAGGTACCTGAGGGAGGGTAAATAGATCCAATATTAACATACCAATCTATGATTGGACATCATGATCTATCAGATCATAACAGGCATGTTAGGGTTTAAAGTAGATACCTTTATTCGGATTATTATTCCTGATCAAATGCATTCTTAATCAATTCTTCAGACTTGAAGAACACAAATCCTCCGATGGAAATCCACACCACCTTGTTGTCTTGTAAGAGAAGGACCCTTCTTCGATTGGGTAGTGCCTTTGATTATTCCAAGAGAGAGATAGTTGCCACACTGATGTGTGTTGGCTAAGGTTTCAGTGGAGAAAATTAGAGATGAAGAAGAGATACAAAACTAAGGAAGAAGAGGGGCTATATAGATGTGGCGACTCATTAACCTAAGACTAGGTCAAATCAGCGCCCTCATCAAATCTCAATCTTATTTGGTAATTTCCTTAATTTTATCCAATCAATTTGATTGATTGGTTTCCCCAATTTCAGCCAATTGATTTAATTAATTGGTTTCCTTAATTTTACCCAATCAATCCAATTGATTGGTTTCCCAAATTTCAGCCAATTAATCTAATTAATTGGTTTCCTTAATTTTGGTCAATCAATCCAATTGATTTGTTTCCCTAATTCCATCCAGTTAATTTAATTAATTGGTTTCCTTTAATTTTGGTCAATCAATCCAATTGATTTGTTTCCCCCAATTTCAGCCAATTAATTTAATTAATTGGTTTCCTTAATTTTGGTCAATCAATCCAATTGATTTGTTTCCAATCAATCTAATTGATTGGTTTCCTTTATTTTCTCCATCTTCAATAAATCTAATTTAATGGCTATATTTAAATTCCAATTTTAAATTCGAAATTCAAAATTATAATTTAAATTAATTTTATTTAAATTCAAATTTCAAATTCGAAATTAGAATTCAAATTAATTTTATTAATTTATCATTTAAATTAATTAGGTTACATCATGGATCAAGTCCAACTTGACCCATGATCCCACCTACTCTATTTTGGCCCAATATGTGGGCTTTTCCAACTTAGGCCCATTATGCCTTATTGGGCCCAAAACACATATGCTAGAACTCAAGACAACTTAAGGTGTTTGTGTGCGACCCATCAGGCCCAACATAGCCACTGACATAAATAGGGTTGGGCCCATTAGGCCCAATCTATCTAATGACAACACAGAGCACTAGCAATGCTTTGTTGTCCCAGAGCTAGTTGAGTTCATCGAATGATCAACCTGTTATACCTATTTGGTTACCGTGTGAATTGTCCTTTCGTCTCGGTTATCCATCCCATTGACCTAGGTCAAGGAAAACGTATCAACCCCTGCTGCGGTCTAGGGTTAACTTTTGCCGAAACAAGGAATCTTCATTTACGGACTCTAAAGAGTGGGCCATCTCATGACTCCTTTACTATGCATAGATTCCCGAGTCCCGTAAATGTCGTCCCGATTTCACCGATCTACGGATAACCTAATCTCTCACAGAGATTGACGAATTCCTTTAGCTTGTCAAACTAGCCCTGAGTCCTTAGGGCATGCCCAATAGTATACCTACGAGTCTCCATTTTTCAGGCAACAAGATATACAATCAAAGCAAGCCTTCCAGAGCACAGGTCTATACGACAACGTTAGGTCTAAGGAAAGACACACCCAAATAATAAGAGACATTACCTATTGATACTATCTGTGAGATTTCCTTGTAGTGTCTCTTTGTGGGTCAGTTCAGTGCGAGCTATTCTCCAATAGGTCCACCCACGAGTCAGCTAAGACATCTCCATGTCTGTAGCTCACGAGGACTCTACCTTGCATCTCCATGCAAGTAGCTGAGTCGTGCTAGTCTTACCCGAGATCACCAATGCTCATTATCAGTATATCTAGACTAGTAACATATTTCTGGCAATGGACGTGTGGTGTCATTGAGCCCTCATGATCGTGATCCCTATCACAAATCCTCAATGTGACACCCGTTCCATTCCAAGGGCTTTATCCAGTTACTCATATTCAATATTTGAGACATGCATATGAAACAAGATAAATAATGCTTTTATTCATAAAATTTATTCATAACAAATAAAGAAGTACATGAGTCCATCTAACTCTCAGATTGCTCTAGGATACCTATGTACTAACAATATATATATATATATATATATATATATATATATATATATAGATGTGAGTGTGTGTATGCGCGCGCGTGCGTGCGTTTATCGTTTCTTAAGTTGCTCGAGATAACTTTATTTTCGGTCAATGTTGTCAAAATCAAGTTTCTACGCAGAAATAAAAGAGAATGATAAAAACGTAAATCGTAGAAACAACACGAAATATAAAGTTTCTACTACTTAAGGTCAAGTTACAAAATTATATATATATATATATATATATATATGCATGTAAAAAATATAAGTCGTTACTCAAAATTCAATGAACAATTTCATAATTAAAAGATGGGAAAAAAGTTTCCGATGTTACTTTAGATAACTTTATCTAATGTTCATCGAAACGACGTCGTTTTGGGGTTGAAAAATTAAAAAATTAGAGTGATAAAGACTATTATAACCCTGAAATAAATTAAAATTACAAAAATACCATGATTTCCGTCCCAAAACGACGTCGTTTTGATGAACATTAGATAAAGTTATCTAAAGTAACATCAGAAAAACAAACCCTTAAAAGATATAATTAAGTCACATAACTATATAAAACATAAGTCCAAAAACACAAAAAGAGTTTAACAACTCCTATAACTAAGTTCCAAAATATCAAAAGAATAAAGCTTAACAACTCCTAAATGGAAATATAACAATCTCGTGCGAGGGTTTTTTTTTTCCTTCAAATAACTAGAAGATTATATTGTGCATTGGATTTGGGGAAAATGGAAATAAGATTTTTTTTATTTTAAAAAAAATAAAAATAAGACAAGGTCAGGGGTTAAAAGTTGACCCATTTTTTGGTTTAAGTAAAAATGTAAAAACTTGCATTTCTATCATTTTTACATTTTTAAACGAAGTTTTTACCAGTTTTTATCGAGAAAATTTTTTACTTGCGCTTTAACACGTATTACTTTAGTAAAAACATAAAATGTAAGTTTTAACGTTTTTACACTAGTGTTTGACAACAATGTTTCCGGCTATTAAATCATAACTATACAAATATAGATCAAAGGACAATGGTGATAAAGGAAAAGAGAGAAAAAGAAAATCATACTCATTCAAAGGTAAATAAATCAATATAAGAAAATAAATAAATGAAGAGAAAAATATTTCTACAGTTACTGCATATACGTTATTTGCATTTACTTCCAAAATGACATCGTTTTGGAATTGAAATATTAAAAAATTATAATTATAAAGACTATAATAACCCTGAAATAAATCTAAATTACAAAAACACCATGATTTCGCTCCAAATATATAGGGGTTTATATTTCTGCAGTGGCTGTACGTGCAACAATCAAATACTTGCCATATATATATATTTGAAAGCATAAATGCGAAAAATCGTAACCATACAAAAGATGAAAGCATTAAATGCGGAAAATCGTAACCATACAAAGGATGAAAGTATTAAATATGGGGAATCATAACCATACACATGTCGTTATTCTACATAAAGCGGCTGCAGAAATAATTTTACCATGTATATATTATGGCTTTTAGATTTCTCAAAATTAAAAATTAAAGTGAAATTGAGTTTAAACTAGGGAAAACAAGTATAATGTTGCTGCAAAACAATAACATTGTGTACACAAAAAGGTACATGGATCCCATTTTTTTTTAATTTTCTCTCACCATATTTTTCTCTCTCCTCTTTATATTTGTGTCTGCTGCAAAGGGTTAATATTTTGCAG